GGCCATGCCAACCCTCGAGCTGTGGTTTTCTGAGTCTCCTTGCTGTAATGTGGCTGTTTTCCACACCCAGCAAAGCAGGAAGAAGCATGGATATGTAGAATCACTTCTTCCTCCATTCCCTCGCTCTGACACACTCAGCATGACAGATAGCCGCCTGTGTTGTTGATAGTTTATATCTTGGGCATCCTTTGTCGTGAGAAGAAGCTTCATCTGATTCTTCTTTCCTCTTAGGCGTGGTTATCAGAAGAACTACTTCCAGTAATCTGTGACTGACAGAGTTGCAGGATTGAGGCCAAAATATAGAGCAGGGGAAGGAAGCCTAGGGAGGCTGATTTCTGCCACTGATCTCAACACATTCGCTCACAGGTCTTCCTTTAATAGAGCCCAGTTTTTCCCTGGGCTGTTCCTTACAGATGTGATTGCTTTAACCCCATTCCAATTAGCCTCAGCTTTGGTAAGGTGTCCAGAGACTTGTCTCTATTGCTGAGTCTTTAACAGGTAATGTTCAACTGGTGTATCATCATACACAGTGGTGATCACTTCATTTTCCATTGAGTGTCCCAAGAGCGTGGCTACTCTTTTCTTACTACCCTTGGAATACAGTCCATGCCTGTTGTGTTGAGGCTTAAGCAAGCTTGAATCCGTTAAGTCGGGATTACAATTGACTGCATGTAACAGCTAACCTCTCCCTAAATGAGTTAGGTGTGTTAGAGTTTTCCCATATAATTAAAATTCTGTGGAATAGGCTCTTCCAGACTCCATGGTGCCATCAGAAACCCATGCTCTTCTCCATCTTCAACACGCTTTATTGATTGTGTTCATCTTACCTCCATCTGCCTCTGGCAGGCAATCCATGCAAGAGGGAAGCAGAGCAGGGCCAGCTATGACTATCAGCCATCTGTCTGTTCTGCAAGAACGGTCCTAGACCCACACCCAGGCACTTCTGCTTAGAGCCCATTGGCCGGAATTGTGGGTGTGGTTATCTTAGGGATAAGAGAAACAGCAAGTATAATTTATTTTTAAGTTGCTAAAGTAAGCACACGCATTCAGACAGACCCTGAATGGTGTCGCTAGAAAGAGAGGAGCGGTCATCTCCGGGCCAGTTGAGCCTCCTAGGCCAGATTTCCTCCACCTCCTTCATTTTGTTCCTTGAAGGACTTTGCACAAAATTTGCATTTGGAAAGTAAACTTCCTTTCTTTGGGATCTGCGGAGGACTTGTTTAGACTTTGTGAACTGTATGTAAATACTTCACACTCTAGGAACTAAAATCTAGAGGAAAAAAAACCTTACCCTATATGTAAATACACATGCCTGTCTACTGACTTCCTATTGTTGTTACAAAATATCCAATTGTTACTTTAAAAAAAGAAAGAATAGCTGTGTGTGTGTGTGTGTCTGTGTGTGTGTCTGTGTGTGTGTCTGTGTGTGTGTCTGTGTGTGTGT